CAGCAGCCGATCTTTCCTCCGGGGATGTGGAGCATGAGCCTCCAGCGACATGTCTTCACTGGCTCGTCAGTTTTCTGTGCGAGTCGAGCACGAGAGTCGTGAGTGGCGAGCACTCGCTGCAGCCAAGGGCACGTGGCATCGCCTTCCTTCCGGCATTTTTCCCACGCAGGGATATGAACCACCGCGTAATGGCTGTGTTGTGGCACGCTACACGATAAAAAGTCCCGGCCGATTATATGCATTGGTAGGTGCTGGTATTCATGCAGCTCATGATTGTTGGGCTTGAAATAACATTATGCAATGTCTTCTATGGTTGCCCTGAACTAAAAGTCATTCGATAGACTAAGGTCGCCAGGTTCGTACCATGATATTGCATTGCGGGTTACATGTTGAAAGGCAACCCCAAGAAAATAGCCCGGCAGCTTTTGGGCTTGGATCTTCAGCTGCAATGCGTCCTATGGTTGCCTGCTTTTCTGAACTTCAACGCTGTGGCAGGGTGTCGCCAGTCACACGGGGTGACGAAATTGTGTGATATGCGACTTGAACGTTGAAGCTATGTGGGATCCGGACCCGTGGGTTCCGTCATCTGACACGGCCGCGATGCTTCACGATGATCTGCTCATACGAATGCCAACATGGGACTTTGTCTCTAGATGCACAATAGCCGGTGGAATTATGTGACGCACGGAAAGTGACGTGGCTTCATAAAAAGTAGATTGGTGGTTATTTTCTCCGCAGATATCGCGGGCATGCGCAAGGGCAAACCTTCCATGCACACATGGAAGGTTTCAAAGCTTTACTCTGGTTTCCAGTTCGTTTGGAGGGCGCCACGATGACCCGGGGTCACGAGATTCACAGTCACTCATGAAACTGTACCCTGGGAGTCGATTCATGAGGCATGCTTGGAAATCCGACCAATAGTCCTAAACTTAACCCTATATAATGCATGCACTCGTCATATTGAAACCGGGTATTATTTTTGGAGGTTATTTGTGTCTGAAACGTTACAGTGAACATTCTGAAACTCAGTGGCGGATATTCTCTCTAAAACTCAGATATTTGAGTGGCGTGTGTTATTACATCTTTTTGCGTGAAAGGCTAATCACATTTAAATGGCACGTAATGCATGTTAGCATACGGGGGATCCACCAGCAACAAGGGAAGGAGTTTGGGCATTTGCCGCACCATTTCAGCTGAGATGCATGTCTTATATGCGTAACATGTCACTGCTTGAGGTCATAGGACACCACTAATTGCACATGCGTTCAAATAGTACGTGTCGTATGCATGAATAGCCAAGCTGAATTTGCAAAAGTGACACTAAGTGATTGGAACACTGAACATTTACACCGGGTTCAGCTGGCGGTTAATATGACAAGGTTTCTTCGGGCTGCTGTCATAGCGTACATCAAAAGGACTAACCTTTTAAATGTGCTCATAAGTATAGACAGGTGCTTAGTCAGACAACATAGGTGAAGAAAACGTTTGATGACAAGTTTTTAGGCCATTCAGTGTCTCTGCTTTGCGTATTCGCCTTTTTTCTTTTGTAAGCCTAGTGCATGTGCTAAACAAGACACAACAGGTGCGTAGTCAGGTGGCAGGAACAGGGGACGTCATGTGTTCAATTCTGCCAACTGAGTTAAAAGCCTAGACAAGAAATATTTCGATTAAAGACGCTTTTAATCACATGAATCCTGCAGTTAGGCATTGGTACATCCGGCACTGGCAAATAGAGCTGACTGATATGTTCTTATCGTTTGTGGGGTTTATTTGGTGATTAATAATCGTACTTTTCATGGTGCTGACCTAGAATACCTAAAATTTGAGAGTTGATGCGCTTTTACTAAATAGTATGCCTATTTGAATTGCATAGCACCGTATTTCAGCGTAAATTATTAGTTGTCCAATTCGTTGTTCAGAATTCGTCAAAACATATTACAGATTGCCTCCTCCTAGCACCAACTTTACCCCGTACTGTTGTGAGACCACGGGCAAAACTATGGGCAAAATTGAGCTGTTAAAAGGCACACTAACCTCCAGACACATTTTGGGCGCTGCAAAGGAAAAACCTGCCAACCGTAATCGACCACACCTAGAATCAAACGTGAGTGAAAGTTTGAAATCATTTCGCATGAAAAAGGTCAGGGTGAAAATTACAAGGATGTTCGTGATGTTGTTTATTGTCATGTGGTGTCTAGCTGCATGTCAACGGAAGTAAATGACAAAAAGGATTTCCAAGTTAAGCCCTTCGATGCCCATTTTAGGTTAGTTCTCCACGTTGAACATAAAACAAATGGGCTATTGTAAAATGTTTTGCATTTTCAGACATTCCTTCGACAGTGTCAAACTTGACACCTACACATATCTATTGACCGAAATATTATTTCGCTAATTTGGTCGTGCTCCTGCACGTGTTTCTGAGCTAGGCGTTTGTCACGAAGGTGATAAGTTCCTTGCTTACTTCGCTTCCTACCCTCCGACTTTACTTTACGTTTGTTTATTGCAGGCTACACGCAAAGTGCAACAATGTGCATAGCATCAATATTTGGAAACATCGTCATGTAAAACGACTACTGTCGCCTTCTAGGCAGAGTTTTTCGTCCACCGAAATAGTATTCCAGCATTTTTCTCTAGGATATATAGGATAAGTGCACACATATAAGTATGTCCATTGCTGAATAACAGTCGTTTGAAATGTCGGTTCCCTAACACCTCTATGTCGTCCGTGCCAACCGGCATGTCATCAGCTAAATCGTTGATGTCTATGTCAACACACATATTCAATTCAAGACTTTCCATACATCTGTGTTGACATGGTTGACATCACGCTAAAATTTTCAACCTGTGCAGCTATCGCGGAGAGTCGCCGCTCCCCATTACACTCGCTATACCCCTTTCTCATCTACTGTCAGGAGTCTGGGAAAGTGGGGCTTCTCTGCGCTCCCTCCCAGTTCCACTCCTGTTACTACTGACCAGTTGAGTTTCGATTCCATGTTGGACACTGCCGCCTCCGGTTTGTTCTCCCATGTGTGAATCACGTGACCACCCCTGCTCTAACCAGGCCCGCCACCGGACTCGTAACCCTGAAACCATGGCTACCCGTCGCCGACCTGGCCGCCATAACGTATGCATCTCGAGCATCAGGACGTCACAGGAGTGATCCTTTCGCTGTCGTGCGGACCGTCACCGCCACCGTCTACTGCCGGACTTTCTCTGCGACCGTTTGATAAAAGGTGCGACTGAGACGGCCAGGCGCACTGTCGGCTGGGCGGCGGGGGCGACAGTGCAACGGTTCCGTCTCCGTAGCTGGCACGAGGAGGCCGTCGATACGTCCGCAGTCGGAGCTGACACGTGCTGCGCGATGCACCGGTGAGTCGTGCGCGGCGACCCGAGGTGTGCACTGACCTCACGTGGCTCTCAGCTGCCACTGGCTGATCTCGGGGCTTGGTGGCCGCGCACGGATGGATGGCCAGCGGCCCGACCTGAACTGGCCAGACCGCATTCCGGAACCCGAGTGACGATGCCGTTTATCGTGTGATTATGTTACTACCCTGAGCGTGAAAACTGACGTGAGGCTCCGTAACGCTGCTGGCCAGGGCAGTTACAGGTGTCGATACGCAGCGCTAGTCCAGCCATCATTGCAACGGCACGGCCTCCATTGCTGAACAGACTTTATTCGTTATTTATCCTCCGACAAGGCCGTCATGTAGAGTGAGCCGAATTAGAACTTTGAGTCTCGAGAAATCTGTTTTTGATTGAAATCCTGAAGCTAAGGTTAACAATTAGAACATCAAAAGATAAGAAAATGCAAAACCAGTGAGCAGCAGACGGCCATGCGGGGTTCATCAGGGTTGCACCATGACATAGGGCACGATGACAGTACATACATGCGTCAGATTATATCTAAACGCGCATGCAACCGCCCCCTCCCTCTCCCTCTCTCTCTCTCTCTCTCTCTCTCTCTCTCTCTCTCTCTCTCTCTCTCTCTCTCTCTCTCTCTCTCTCTCTCTCCTCTCTCTCTCTCTCTCTCTCTCTCTCTCTCTCTCTCTCTCTCTCTCTCTCTCTCTCTCTCTCTCTCTCTCTCTCTCTCTCTCTCTCTCTCTCTCTCTCTCTCTCTCTCTCCTCTCTCTCTCTCTCTCCTCTCTCTCTCTCTCTCTCTCTCTCTCTCTCTCTCTCTCTCTCTCTCCTCTCTCTCTCTCTCTCTCTCTCTCTCTCTCTCTCTCTCTCTCTTTCTCTCTCTCTCTCTCTCTCCCTCTCTCTCTCGCTTGCTCTCTCTCTCTCTCCCTCTCTGTAGGTTTACAAGCAAACAATTTCAATTTCTGTAGGTTTACAAGCAAACAATTTCTGACCGCTCCTTTTAAAAAAAACCGTCTTTAAAGAACATTCACCGCGCGCATCCGAACACCTGACCATGTCATTACAATGGACAGAAGTCGCCAGCCCAAGCTTATGAGTATTTCACGGCAGTAGGTTACGCACTGCGAGAAATGAGGACGCCTTCAGGACTAAGAACTGATCCTAAGTGATTTTGCGCAAAAGACGCCACCTGACGTTGGATTTTCGAACATCTGCAAGGTTGGCAAAAGGCAAAGGCAAAAGGCAAAAAAACAAACAAAATAATGTATATATATATATATATATATATATATATATATATATATGTGTGTGTGTGTGTGTGTGTGTGTGTGTGTGTGTGTGTGTGTGTAGTGGTATGCCTATATAGGTTATACACTGCAACCGACGCACTCGTGAACTGAAAACGCCAGCTCATCTGAGCCTGATCACGGCAGTCTATTGCAGAGCTGGAGCGGCCAGTGCCGCGGCGTCGGCCAGCCCAGCCTACGGCGCCGGTGTCCGCTTGGTGCAGCTGGCGCTGGTGCTGCTGCTGGCGGTCTCGGCCGCCACCGCCGCCGGCGAACAGCCAGGGGAGCCGCACGAACTGCCGCTCCGCCCGGGCCGGCTGGCGCGGGCTGAGCAGCGGCTGCCGGAGCTGGAGCAGGGGCTGCTGGACGCGCTGCTGGCGGCGCAGGACGACAGCGAGCGGCGGTCCTACAGCGGCCCGGTGGCTGGCAAGGTCAGACGGCCGGCGCGCCGCGCCATTCGGGGACGCTGGCTGGGGTCGAACGGGGGTCGCTTGTCGAACGGGTCATTCCTAGATGAAGAATAAACTTCAAACACAGAGGGTTTGGTTGATGCGACTAATTGGATGGGCATTAGTCAACACGTTGTGTGCATTGACAGGATAGCGCATGTTCATGTTAGGCAATGGGCATGAGTGCCATAGGGGCGCGGAGCCAGAGGGACTGCCAGAGATGGCACTCATGGGGGTTACACCCCCATACTCAGGAATATCTATTTATATTTTCCCTACGTGATACGTAAGATGCTGCGTTTATCAGTCTCTGTGACGTCTGTAGTTTATTTGCAGCACGTAGGCACTAAGTATGGGGCTAGAACTTAGTCCAAAACTCACATCCTCCGTTGGAAAGCCAAGTACCTGGCCTCTTTCCTCATGACAAATCCTAGCTATTCACTTCGCAAGATATCCCGCCATAGCGCAGGCGCAGGGACGTTTCAGGAAGTGGTTGGGCCAATACTAATTTGGAAGTCGATGTTACCCTCGGATCGCCATGGAGCCAATGTCCCATGGTCTCGAAAAGTGGAGGCAGTTACCCCCGTTGCGCCCCTGCAATCGGTTCCTACAACCAAGTCTGTCGGGATCTTGTGGATGCAAATAACTGCACGCTTTCATGGGGACATATTGTGATAAACTGTCATTGGCAAGTCAGAAACAAGTGTGCCATGCCAGCCAGATATACATTACTGCGCTGAAATTGGTTACTTACGCGATATCCATATACATCGTTACCACTGAAGGTGAGGGGATATTGGACGGGGCCTAAGCAGAGCGTAACGAGGGGGAGGAGGATCGTTTGGACTTTGTAGCGCTACACTCAGACATGGCTGTAAACTGTGCTTATCCCTTTTTAATCGTGAAAATCTGCAATGATGTACACCGCTATCCTCCGCTCATGACAAGCAATTCGCCCATCTGTGTGCTGCACCTGAAGCCGACTTAAGAATGAAACGGCGCTGTCTTTAGGGGACAACATTACTCACATAGCGTGACCAGGGGAAGGTTTTTGTTGCTGAGCATAACCAGCATGTTATCATGGGAATGGGAATTACTAAATGACCAGAAATGCGTAACGTAATTTATAGGCGGCCAAGAAGAGTCTTAATATAAGGTACCATGAAGTGTCTCCTATACGCCAAGGTGAAATTAACAGATGTCTGGGATGACAAAGCTTAATACGGCTAGACATCTGCATGAAGCCTAAAAAGAATCCTAAGACCCCATACACATGGTGCCCAACGGAATCCTGGATCAAACAAGTGCTTTGATCTCTTGGGACCAACGCACATGTTTCCGGCGGAGCATATCGAAATAACAATTTTCAAGGAATACGAGACAGCACTGAAATACAGCCTTTGGACGAGTTACTTCCGTGTTGGTTGGGTGTTCTTTCCCCGCCTGTGGCCGACAGCATTGTGATGCTTCGATGCAGCCAGATGGCGTGGATCTGATAAGGACGCGGGAAAGTTGTACCCCACGTGTCAGGGAGCCGGACCGGTCCCTGAATCACACGTCCGGTGCCGAGCCGCTGTGGTAACGGGCACCCAACATGACGTGCTTTTACTGCGAGTGTAGGTACTGTTCCATTGGGGGACGGCGTGGCATGCGCGATCGTGGGAGCACTATTTCCTCAGCCGCAAAATCAATGCATGGTATACACTACACACTACACATCGCACAATAGACGGCTGCTGTCTTGATCTTGATTTGAAACTGCGACTTCTCCAAGGCAAATCATCTGAGCTTCAAGAATGATCAGTGCAGGCAGCATTGCTGAACGATAGCGTTTCAGTTCAGCCCGTCAAATATTACCCAGCTGTTCTCGCGAATGGGCAGACACCCTGCGCGGGCTGCCCGATGCCGACCCTGCATGGGCTGACCTGCCCCAACTCCGCCCCTGCGGGGGATGAACTGCACCAAGCCCGTCCCCGCGTGGGCTAACTTACCCCCAACTCCGCCCCTGCGGGGGATGACCTGCACCAAGCCCGTCCCCGTGTGGGCTGACTTACCCCCAACTCCGCCCCTGCGAGGGATGACCTGCACCAAGCCCGTCCCCGCGTGGGCTGACTTATCCCCAACTCCGCCCCTGCGGGGGATGAACTGCACCAAGCCCGTCCCCGCGTGGGCTGACTTACCCCCAACTCCGCCCCTGCGAGGGATGACCTGCACCAAGCCCGTCCCCGCGTGGGCTGACTTACCCCCAACTCCGTCCCTGCGGGGGATGACCTGCACCAAGCCCGTCCCCGCGTGGGCTGACTTACCCCCAACTCCGTCCCTGCGGGGGATGACCTGCACCAAGCCCGTCCCCGCGTGGGCTGACTTACCCCCAACTCCGCCCCTGCGGGGGATGACCTGCACCAAGCCCGTCCCCGCGTGGGCTGACTTACCCCCAACTCCGCCCCTGCGGGGGATGACCTGCACCAAGCCCGTCCCCACGTGGGCTGACTTACCCCCAACTCCGTCCCTGAGCAAGTGTCCCGTCAAACTTGTAGGAGGAAAGTGTAGGAGGAAAGTGTAGGAGGAAAGTGGCTACATATTTTGTTATTCATTTGCCAATTATATTTTTGTCAGGAATCAGCTCTGTACCTTCGAATAATTACACAAAGTTACGCCCTAAAGAAAGGTCCAACGAGGACGAGATTGAGGTCGGGGCATGCCACGGAGTGATATATTCCGTTATTGGCTTTGAGGTTTGTCATCGTCTCGCCCTTCCCGTCCAAAAAGGTGGCTTATTGGTATAGATATTATGTGTCTTCATGCTTTAGACGGGATGGAGGTGAGCTCTAGTCTGTCCGGCAGGCAGTGTAATTCCTTGCAAGACTGCCACATTTGTCGTGTATTCACAGACCGCACTGGTGTGACGACCACTGCTGGTAAGGTGCGCATTGTCCCTGCTCTGCCTGCCCTGACGCCGTCTCCGGATGAGGTTAGCTGGTGACAGCCCACTGTGACCCACACATTGTTCTCCGTTACAGATCCCATTCCGGAAGTGGATGCACCAGTCCGGGCAGTTCCTGCCAACCTGTGCCCCCCAACAGGTGCATAGCCGTTGCGTTATCCGGCGGCTGGTGGCTTCCACTTTCCCTTTCAGCAGTCATGTTTTTGGATTCATAATTGCTTCGAGTCACCCGTGAAAGCGGTCGTTCGTAAACCTCCGGCGTTAAAAAGCAGATCCGATAGGCTCAGTCACTGTTTTGTCTAAGTGCGCTGCTTTTGCGGCGGTGCTGCCCTGATAGTGTCGCAACCATGCGGCTCGCATCGGCGCCTCTGGGGCAGCGATTGGATCCCGTCATCGTATTGCGCCGTGGCGTCAGGGCGTCCGGGTGCATATGAAAACAACAGAAGGGATTCCCGGGCCGTCACATGCGAAGTTCCCAGTCGATGAGTATGTGCATTCCTGTGCATTCCCCTCGTGCCCAACTGGCCTGCATGCTGGGAGCGCAGCGTGGCGCGGCGCCGGTGCGTCATCACATGAGCCGTGTTGTGCATGCCCCGCCGGCAGGTGTGCAGCACGGTCTACCCGCGTCTGCAGCGCACCTGGCCGCAGTGCGTGTGTCCGCGCGGCTCTCCACGCTGCAGTCCGATCACGCTCACCACCGACAACCACTCGGTGCAGCTGGTCACCGACGCCTCGCTGGGGGTCAGTGGGTGCGGCGCCTCGCCTGCGGTCGGCCGCGCCATCGGCCGACGCGGCGGCACAGCCGCCCGGCCGAACTCGGCGCCAGTGCTGGCGATGTGACGGCGGCGCGGAGCCGAGCGGCGCTCCGCGGTGTACACGGGTCCGAGCGGCGCTCCGCGGTGAACACGGTCCGAGCGGCGTTCCGCGGTGTACACGGTCCAAAGGGCACTCCGCGGTGTACACGGTCCGAGCGGCGCTCTGCGGTGTACACGGTCCGAGGGGCACTCCGCGGTGTACACGGTCCGAGCGGCGCTCCGCGGTGTACACGGTCCTAGGGGCGCTCCGCGGTGTACACGGTCCGAGGGGCACTCCGTGTTGCATACGCCCAGGATGAAAAGTGCTATCTTTTGGGTTGTTCTTGAGACAAGCGCACAGTTCTAGTTTACAGAAAAGACTAACGAGCAGAGAATACTTTTAACGCAATCAGAAACATTCGTTACGGTTATCGACAATCCAGATCGCCAGAATCCAAAAATTAACGGTAACCTTAGTTTTTATCAGGCTCCTTACATCCGATGAAACGCTGGCCTCTGTTCCAGGCGCTGACCTCTGTGAAGACGTGCGAGACTAACCAGGATATCCGGGAGTGTGACGACAAGGACTGGGCGCTGCTCGCTGTGCAGAGCACCCGCTCAGGGAAAGCCAACTATCTGGTGATATGCCGCTGTCCGCCGGATGGATCTCTCGGTAAATGTTTCGGTGACTGCCAGATTCAACGCCTTTCCGATCCGGCTTCTTTCGCATAATGGCATACGTGAACTCGTCCATAAATCTCTACTGAAACTGTTGCCATCTTCCTAGATGCGAGCGCGTTACACTATCGCCCGCGACAGCTAATACACCGCCTGACTATCTCTTCGCAGAGGGGCCACTGCAGCATAACGTCCCGAAGTACGCGCACGTACCCACCATCCGCATATACGGCATGCTGTGCCGGCGGCAGCACCACTACCACCACCGTTACCGGCGCCACGCGCGGACAGGTGGGTCGGGTAGCGCCGGCGGTCTCCCGGCCTTGCGCTGCAGCACAAACCGTTCAGCCGTTGTGAGGGCTATCCCTGACGCCCCGTCGGATGAACGCACGGCGGTAAGCAGACGCCCACGATCGTGGTGAAAGATCGCATGCATCGCGAAAGCGACACGGAGACGTGGCCGGCGCATAGTGTGGCGGCGGGCGACTGCTGCCATGAACAATGAGCGCAGCCGCGCCAGCCGGCTGCTCCGCTCCCGGGCCGGCACGGCGCCGCTCGCTGGCCCGGCGCCGGCGTCGGGCCGCGCCGCCTCGCCGTGCACGCGCGAATAGCAGCCCGACTGGAGCGTCGCCGTTTCACTTTCCGCGGTGCAGCGGCGCGCGTGCCGCGGCACTCACCATCCATGGCCGGCCGGCCGCCGCTCTGACATGAGAGGAACGCGTCCTCTGTGGTTGGCCGCCCGCCGCGCTGTTATGAGAGGGGCGAGTCGGCACACCGGGAAGAGACTGCAACGTGTAGGACGTGGCGCCGGTCCGCCGATCAAGCGCGTCGAAGCCCGCAAACCTGCGCCGCTGGCAGGCTATGACGAAATCCTCAGTCGCTTGAACTGTTCTCGACCGCACTTTCGACGGAAGCTTAAAAGATATGTTCCGCCTCATTTGCGTGACATGTGGTGTTGATAGTATTTATGAGCTCATAAACTAGTTGCAGCCGATGGCGTTCGCGGGCTGAACGCGGTTTGGTCTGGCAGAGTAATAATCGTCCTCTGGACATTGGCTTCCTTTCACATGGTCGTTAGCGTGGCAATTACCGCGCAGTATCTGCCACATGTGAGATATCTGAAAATTCAGAATAGTGTCGCTGCACCTGTACTCAAATTATTGAATGGTCAATGCGTCGTCATTGGAGCATTACAGCGCACTCGGCGGCTGAGGCTATTTGAGGTTGTTTGCCTCTCACCCTGGCAAGAAGGGCAGGTGCCGCGGGCGATCAAACCCGCACGTCTGATATTCCAGACGCGCAGCCCAACCATTACACTGCCTATAACCGCAATAGTCCCACAATGAAGACATTACCTGTTCCCCTAAATTGAACCAGGGCGCCCTATCAATTGAAACATTTCTTACGGAATCAGTTTGGTGTTCCGGTAGGTTCATCGCAGCAGACGCCGTACAATACATACCTGCATTAATGTTGACTGTGAGAACCTAACAGCACCGTCCCTTTCGAAAGCTAAGAGAACTGCAAGTCGGGAGAGATTTCCGTTGCTGTCGCCCCGTCCCTGGGGCGTGGAGGCGCTCACCCCGCGTTTTGACCCGTAATTGTCTGTAATGGGAGCGGGCGGGCGCCGGGCGGTTCAGTGACTTTCGTTTTCGCTCAGTGCTCGGCACGGGCGGTACAGACGGGGCGAAACGTACGGCGCCTGGCCCAGTGCCAGTGGGCACTGATGCGATGTGGGACGGAGGTACGGCTGCCAGGTGGCTCATGCCCGGCTGGGCCCATGTGGACTGCTAACGGCGCTCGTTATTGCGTGGTTGGGAAATTTTCTTAATTAACACATCGCTACATTAACTGTATGGACACGAGGGATGCTGATGTCGTGCGTTTAAAACGCTTGCGATGAGTTTCGTCCGACTATTACTGTAACTAACTCATCTACGGAGATTGAATTTATCCCTGTTCATACTTATTACTGCCTCAGCTGTAGCCACGTTATAGTTTTCTTGACGTTATACTGTAGAGTAATATAGTATACTTGACGCTGTAGCCACGTTATAGCGGAAGCGTGACATCACTGCCATTGTCAGTGTGTCAGCTCACGTAGCATCATGGACAGCGGAAATACGCATTTTTGGCATTCTTCCGTGAGGATCTGTAGAACCAGTTCGATACAGATAAAATGCTAGTAAATCTTAATTTTAACAATGCGCCGTGCTGCATTTTCCATCTTATTGCCGCTTCTGAAGCTAAGGGACTGTTCTTTTTTGCTCACGATTCCTTACAGTGCTTGTTACACGCTTGAGAAAACCATTTCAAGAGTATTTTTATGTTTCCCCAAGGTCAAGACAAGACGTGGAAAATATGATGAGAGCATGGTCACACATTTGGAATCGGTTTCAAGCGATGGTGAGTCGTGAATTTCTATCACTGCAATTTGACTCTGGCTTGCACTGGTTCAGCAGTTGGTCAGTTTGGCAGTCAGTTCTTCCTGACCGAGTCATCTCCACTTGTGAGAGAAGTGGGCTGGTGTTTTCATCTTCTCAATCATAACAGCTCTGATAGGCTGCACTGCGGATGGCTGTACTATATTTAATTTTACTACACTATACAACACTACAATACGTTCAAATAGTCAAACATTCATCTGGCTTCATGAACCTTGGAAACCACCGCCTTTTGAAGGCATCCTTAGGACGGCTGTGAACGATTGCGATGCAGAAATATGGGCTTTAAGTTCTTGTTCCAGACATCTGACGCTGTTTGCCATGCTTGATATGCAGGTTGCCACCGCGGAAGTATGCCGCAGTCGCTTTACAACGAAACGAGACGGACGAACGAAACGAGCGAACGAAACAGTGTACGTGTTGTAGTAGTTACGGATTTCGTGGAAGTACAACTTACGCTGTAACGCGTAATAATTACACAATGGCACAATGACACATATCGTGAAAAAATCAGCTGGGCTGTGAACTCCACATACGGATGTTCTTAACACGTACGTACTTCACCATACACTTTGTATCTGTGCTGTTTCCTTTATTTCGTTTTGAAATCAGCACACGATACGCAAACCCTTAATCTTGTGATGAAATACTGGTGAAAAATTCGCTGCCACGTGCTCATTTCTATATTTTGTATCATTGCAATGCTCAAATATTCATAATAGCTTTTGGCACCCGGATGATGCTTACTTCTCCAAATTATGGGACGTTCCATATGATTCACACGCACCTCTTCACCTCTCAATCGCCTGCTAGATTGCGCGCAGCATCGTTTTCCCTAGAGACCAGAGGTGCACGCGAGACTGAGGGAGGGGGGGGGGGGGGAGTTACAACCTTCCATGTGTTCATCCAGACGACAGCGAGCGCTTCACTTCAGCTCTGCGGAGCCAGTGTCATGCAGGACTCGTGACGGCTCGGAGAGAGCCGTTCGCGACGGGCCATCACGACACCGGCCTCACCGTCCCAAGACAACACTCCAAACGAAATCGCAGCGTGATCGGGGCTTTTGTTGGCCGATCGGTGACGGCGCCGGACGGGGCGGCGAGCTTTAACTCTGTCCCGACCGCCGGCCGCAGACTGAGCCGTCGCCGCCGACTCGGCGCCGCCCGGCCGAACCGATGTAACTCCAGTGGTCGGCGCCTGGCTGGCGCCTAGGGGGGGGGGGGGGGCGACAGCCGTCCTCTCAGGGGGCCCAATTTTCTACGCAGTTAATAGCCTTGCCTGACCGGTACCAAGGAGCGCTCGAGTAACTCTTGAACTTCTCACCTTTCGAAACCACTCTGAATGCAGCCGTCCATATCGTAATGAGCCTCTCTCGTGGCCGTCAGCTGGGCTCGTCACCACTTCTTTGCAAGTGTCGATGATTGGTTATACCAGCCGAGATCAAGTATAACCGAGCGATGCCGTCTGCGAGAGTCAGAGGAAATACGCTTAGCATACAGCTTTCCTTCGGGTGTCATGTTTATTGTTGCGGCTAAGCCGTGTTGACATGTTGCATGTTTGCCAACTTTCCCCATCGGTTATGCCGCATGCAAATACTTTTTGGCGAGGTTTTATTTGTATAGATAAGACAGCAGTAATGGCCTTAATCCTCGGCGAGAAAACCAGGAGAATGGAGGTGCAGTTGGACTGATATTCCTGCAACATATCGTTGTGGAAATAATAGCAGAAGCAATTGCACTTTTGTTATTGTTCCGATAAAGGTGTGTTGCCGAAATATCAATCCAGCTTCTATACTTATGTTACTCTATTTATGTTCTCCTGGTTGTTCTCCGAGGAATAAGGCTATTACTTCTGCCTTATCTCTGTGAATAATGTTTCTCGCTAATGCACTTAGCAGCTTACGTAATTTTTAGGCTTTATTGAAGTGAATGCATTAAGCTTACGTTCTTACGATCTTGAGCAAGCGATCGGCGCCCCCAAACCCAACTGCAGTCGCAAATTTCTCCTTCTCTGTGAGCATTCTTCCTATACCCAAGCGTCGTGTTAGCATGTTTGCCCACCCAGGGCCGTGGCGGCGTGCCGCAGCACTGTGCGGCATGTAAAGCGCCTCGCAGTCCTATCTGGCGAAAGGGCGCAGGCAAAGTTATCTGTCGAACTGGACGGTACAACTTAGCCGGTGGCTGGCGCGTTCCGTGCATACGCAAAAAGCTATGCTTAACAGATGGCCTGAATCATAATCCACCCACACAAACCTTTCGGGATTATCTTATTTCAAAAATGTGAACCAAACGGTCAATGAACACGTTTGGAGCTCAGCAGAAATTCCCCACCATGCTGCAAACCTTCAGGCTACCAGATAAGGTTTAGAACTCTCTTCTGTATTCGCCATGAATGTATTCCGCAAAACATTCCTACTTCTAGCAGTTTTATGAAAACTTTCCTGAAACCATATTAGTGTGATTCAGCGAGGTATCTTGTCATTTCCAGGAAACATTTTCAGACCACAAACGGCTCATATTGGAAAAGATGTTTCTCCAAAGTCTTGGCATAATAGGCGCCAGGCAACAAACCACGTCCCTTGTTTGCGATGCAAGCGGAGCTAGGGTTTTGGCGACCATTTAGCTATATACATACTCCAGCCTTGGGTTTTAAATCCACCCATGCAAAAAAGTGTCCGGAAGAACACAAAAGTAACGCGCAAGTCTAGCCCCAGTTCACGCGTACCCTCATGTCCAGCTGATCTGCGTGTGTCGCATCCCCGACTGACCAGCCGTCGGCTCCCGCAGACCAGCCCTGAAGACTGGGAAGACGGGGAGGCCGGCCGTCACCGCCGCCGGCGGGCCCGGCACGACCGCGGGACTCGTGCCGGCCTCGTCGCCGGCCCGGCGCGGCTCACAAGAGAGGTCCGTCGGACCGGAGCCGCCTCTGAGACGCGGCCCGCTGCCCGGCGCGCTGGACGGCGGCGCCGGGGCGGCTGTTGGACGCCGGGACACGGGGCCGGGAGAGAGCCGCTCCGGGCCGGCCCGGGGACGTCCCGAGCCAGGACCAGGCGCCGGCTTTCCCGGCGCGCCAATCAGATCAGGTGACGCGACACTGATTGTGGCCAAACAGTAACGCCCTCATCATCCGGTGACATGACCTAACGGCGTTCACCGGCTGAGAGCGATATGGAAGCCCTCCAAAAGGAGGCGCGGGGTGGCAGCGGACTGAGCGCCGTGCGTTCTGTGCGGCATTTACGCGCCGTCGTTGGCTTGTGTTAATG